GCCGATCGCCAGTTGAAGGTGTGAATGTTTCAAAGGTCCTCCAGGCGTGAGACCCCATTTTGAATCCACGAGGAGCTGAAAGCACTGGGGTCATTCGAGGCCGGTCATGGTAGCCCCTCCTGATTGCAGATCCAACGGTTTTCGAAGATATGTTGTTGAAGGACTTCATCTAAAAAATCGGGTTTCTTCTGCTACTCTGGGAGCACCCTGACCTAGATTGCAGATGCGGGACTTCAGCTCCCGCCGCCCAGAGCTTAAAGCACCAGTGCATACCAGCTATGGGTGGTCGGCCCCTTTCGAAGCCGCCTACCGCCGATTCATCTTATCTACGGCGCACGACCTCCAAAATTTTAGGATAGGCTGAAAACAGGTTGTCCAGTTGCCTTGGGCCATGTATTGGTGGTTTAAGGCCTTCAATATCTGTTGCTTGTTCTAATGGCACAAACTAGTACTTCCATTTGGATTACGAACAACATGGGTGTTAGAGGGCACCCTTGCCTGAGGGATTTGGGGAGCGAGAAGGGGTTGGTGATCTCTCCGTTAGCCATTACCGAGGGGTTTGAATCACCTGCAAAAGATGTCTCCAAACCCCGCCAGCGAGAGGATCTTTAGGACAAAGTCACAATTGACTTTATCGTAGGCCTTCCCTAGGTCAAAGAACAGAGCCACCACATGGGGTTGATCCTCTTTCATTACTTACAGCTTCGATTGTGAGCATAATATTGTTCAATATATTTCTATCTTTCACAAAGCTAGCTTGTTCCATCCCGATCAGACCCAGACGATGTCTTTTGAGTCTAATAGCAAGAGTCTTAGCGATGAAATAGGCCTTCAGTTTTAATATTTCTCTTATTATCTTTCTTGTAAAGTTGAGACACTATTCCTAATCTCGACTTCGCCCCTAGGTCAGAACCATCAAGTAACCAATTTTTTATTGCGACTAGTTACTGTCCTAGTGAATCCCAGCAGGTGAGGTAGAACTCCATTGACAAACTATTGTTGGCAAGGCATTTACCTTTTGGCCTATTGTCTACTGTCGTTCTTAATTCCTCCACAGTAACTAGTTTATCTAGATCCAACCTGACATGGGTTGGGATCTTACCGTCACAAGTACTCCACATCTCTACTTGAGTTGCTTTTCAGACTGGGCGATCTTCTACTAACTCAAGGACCTCTCTTGGAGCTTGTGATACTTCAACCTCACAACCCCCGCGTCATCTCGTACCCGCAAACGTCAATCAGAGTTATTGGGGGTGTGGCCGAGGATTTTTGGCCGGTGGGGTTGAATTGCCCGGGCAGAACGGGGGATTCTTGTTTCATATCGAGTCGTTTCTTGAATTCGAGTTGTCGTCGATTGCAAAAGAGAGATACAAAGGGAGGAGAGAGGTTATTCCGAAACGACACGTTCTCTTCTGCTTTAAAAAATTTACGCTCGACCGACGAGACTGAGAGCGACGCGCTACTCGGCTGATCATAGACAAAACTCAGAAGGAAGGAAAAAAAAAAAAGGGAAAGCGGAATTCACCGCTCCTTTTTCGCGCTGTGCTCACATTCACTCGGTGGCGGAATCCCAAAGGCATGAAGTTGTTTTAGGCCTCGACATTAGATTCATCAAGTCCGCTCTGGCGTCCTGGTGCGGCGTCGCTTGGTGTAGGCTGGGCTGGGGGAACCCATGTTCGAAAATTAGCCGGTAACACACCAGCATTGCGGGAGAGTTCTGGGAACCAAGCCGCACCTTCGTATCCCAAGACTAGTCTTTGCCAAGTATACGAATCTCCCTACCGACACCAACGACAGTTAAACTAAGGCCGCCACGTGGCGTGGGCCGTAGACCAGGGTAACACCGTCGGATCAGTGTAAGGCAAAATCAGGGAAGGGGAGGAGAACCGAACAATCAAAACAAACCCACTTTCCCCTATATGGCAGGCCCTAGCGGGGTTATACAGATGAATCTGCTCAGTTCGTCACAAAGTGTTCCGTACGTCCGCATTGCAGTACACACTTTCGTCGTCTGCTATCGGGAAGAACGGTAGTACGCTGCAACGGACCGACGAGAAGATTGAGCACGGGCAATTGTTCGTGCCCGCGCTCACCGAGACGTACACTTACTCCATACAAAGCTCAATGAAACTCACCTCACCCTCTCCGCCTTAGTCAGAGTGTAGGCTCATAGATCCAGCGTCGTGATCACCGATTAGTTATTAGGGCAAATGTGACTAATATCGTGTCGCGGAAATATCAGCCGGGTCACGGAGACGCGGGGACTGATGTCCCCAGTGGTCAAGTGTAAGACGTGGAGCGACACCAGCCCAATTGACCCGGATCACCGGCGAGCACGGGGCAAGAGGAGGGAAGGAGTTAGTGACGATCCATGCGCATACACGCGGCGCCGGGATCGGCAAGGGTCGGGGAAGGAAGGGAAATCCACACACTCATGCATCCATGCAGACGGTCGACACCTAGTGTTCCCCAGAATTGCGCCTGTGAGCGCCCACACATCTCCTCATTTACCTATCTTGGACAATGAGACATTCAACATCCTTAGACTCTCGTACCACTAAACATGCATACAACGGAATACCTATACCTCAGAACATTGCACAGATCACACTAGGACAAAGCAGCATCGGAGATAAAAGCGAGTCCCTCACTCTTCAAAATTTCACACACGGCTGGCCTCCATCAGGCACAGACCCCAATCAGTCCGAACGTCCACCAACCATAGCCACAAGGACCTGCTGCTGGCGGCGTTAGATCTCCACCACCGCTCCATTACTCCGACTGTCTTACCCCAAGTCTACCGCTAAGTCCATCCCATGTTGTCACTCCGCCCATCACTGGGCACGTCAAGCCTGTTTAACGCCGCGAACCTCGCGCATAGCGCGTGCAGCATTGCAGTCGAGATCAAAGAGAGAAAGAGGAAGGGACTGCGAGAATTTATAGCGTGGAAGGTGGCGGGGTGCCAGCACGAGGTGCGGATAGCAAGGGGTGTTGATGAGCAGGACAGAAGAAAGGCAGAGATTCTAGGAGGATCGAAAGCGGGTGAGTCGAAAGCTCTGTGTAATTGGGGTGGTCGTTCAAGTGATGCGCGTGTTCCGCTTTCACCACATTGATCCCACCATCCCAACTACGCAGCCAATCACTCGCGATGGTAGGTAGGGGGAGGATAGGACGTCACTTGCGGGGAGACGAATAGGCATGCAAAAATGAGCGCGCAGCAAGAAGGGAAGATGGCGCGTAGATGCAAAGCAGGGAGCGGGTTTACGCGGTGTGCAAGAAATTTGAAAAACAGCCGCGCGCGTGTAATTACGCAAGGAATTAAAAATTCCGCCCATACTAATTCCTAACCGTTTCTTGGATTTCTCGGCGCGGACCGTCCGCACAGAGAAATCATCAGGCACAGTTCTGAAAGATACAAGTTTCTTTTCCGTCCCCCACGCTGGAAAAAGTAGACCCCACTTTTCTCGATCAACCAGAATCCGTACTTAGAGCCTCACTTGGGATTTCCCCCCCTAAGGGTACAGAAAGCCGCTGAGTACGGATCCTGGCTTATCACAAGCTCTCAAGAAATGCTTGGATCTGAACTCTCTGTTCTCTGAAGCTCTGGTAAACTGGCCCAAATCTGTGGCCATCACACACAAGGACAATCAATTGTGTGTGGATTGGGGTTTAAAGTGTTTAACTGCCCAAGAGAGTGAGAGGTTTTGGGGGGTGCAAGTGGGAATGGGGAATGTCAAGAAACAAGCAAGTGATCTGACCTAAGCAAAGATGTTGTTGGCCAAATTAGAAACGATTGCTGTGGTCCCGGGAGTTTCAATCCTCCAAGGGCGGGCTTCGATCCTCAATAGTGTGGTGTTCGCAAATGGCTTGACCCTGGACCCTGAGATGCATAATATGGCGCTCCCACCCCCAGGTGGCCAGTCAAGGTTCTGATGGATAATTCAGGCCACCCTTGGTTGGATCTAGAGCTTTCCATCCGCGCAAAAGAGTTGGCTCTGGCCAGAATGGAGGATGTCCGGGTCTGCTTTTGGGGTCTGCTTCCTCACAAAAGCCTTTGTCAAAAGGAAGCTGAATTCTAGTGTTGTAGTCATCTGTAGTGTTTTAGTCATCTGCTCTCAGGGCGTACTCACACTAGCAGTATCTCAAACGTATATGACCGCATTCACGGCCATAGCTTAATGTATCTGGCCGCAATTCTGTCCAAAAATGCGTAAAAAAGTCCTAGTGTGAGCGTGCCCTCAGTGGAGTTCGAACTCGGGACTATATTCCAACAGTTCAGGGGTGTACTATCTGAGCTACCTTCTTCCCCCGAAGGTCTATTGTAGCTGCGTTTAGACTGAAAGATGGCCCGAATTCAGCTATGATGACCGTACGTTGTACTCGGGGGAAAGGCCAGTTGGTACTGGGCCAACCATTGCGGTCCGTGATGTAGAGGACAGATGTCTCTAGCTCGTGCATAGCTGGGAGCCGCCTACAGGTATGTGAGGGACGCCGGGCCCGATTCCCGGCCTGTATAATAACAAATGTACCTAGCAATATGATGAAACGCATACCACAGTATATAAATGCGGGTAGGAGTAGTGGGAGGCAGGTACTGATAGACGAAAAAAAACGAAATTGAGAGAACAAATGTATATGCGCGTCAGCTGCCCGTCGCCGCTTCGCCCCCGCCCCGCGCTTGTTAAAGTCCGCACGCGGCAGAGTTGCAACCGTCCTTTAGTTCTTTTTTTTTCACCGTCCTTTTTTCAAACCCTAGCGGCCAAATACGGGGCACCCGCGGGCGGCAGAAGGCAGCCAACCGCGCGCGCGAGCGAGCAAATAACGAAACGAAGAGAGCCACGGCGAGCCCACTTGCACAGGTTCTTTGCTGGACGTACGCATTTGACCGCGATTGCGGCTCCTAGTTGATGCATCTGACCGCAGCTACGCCGAGAGATGAGTCGAAAAGGTCCTACTAGTGGGAGGGCGTATAAGGCGTGAGAGCGGGCCGCGGAGCGCAGCGGCGGTGGGTGGGAATGGGAATGGAGGAGGTTTCCCGCGGGGTCACATCCCTCCTCCGGCCTGGCGGCAGGATCTATTCCCTCCGGTCTGCGTAAAAACTCTCGTCTTCCCTCCTCCCCTTCCACTTCCACTTCCACTTCGACCTTTCAGCATAGCGACAGAAGCTGCAACATCGATGCCACTGTAGGTAAGAAAATTTCCTTGCCTCTTATCCTTCCTCTTTCTCCTCCAATTCTTGCTTCTGGACTCCATTCCCACATCCTCCTCCTCCTCCTCGGCCGCCGATTCTTGATTCTTGTCCTTGTGATGTCCTACTTGCTTGGTCTTGTCGTTCTTGCCGTTTCCTTACGCCTTGAAGAAGTTTTTTATTTGTTTTCTGCTTTGTAAGGACCATTTTTTCCTCGATTTAGTATTAGTGTCATCCTTGCGGAGGGGCCATGCTAATCTTCATTCTCTGTCTGTATCGTTTCAGTTATAAAAAATGTAAATCTTTGAACTTGTAAGCGTCAGATCCACCTGCATCTCTGCATATTTCTCGATCTTCGTTTTGTCCGACTACTTCAGTCTCCAGCTGCTTTTTTTTTGTCCATCTGCTCTTTTTCTCGATCTGCATCCCTTTTCTGCGTATGGACGCATGATGCAGAAGTGGGGGGGATTGACCTTCGGGACATCCGTTAAAAAATGGAACGATACAGAGAAGACAGATTAGCGTGGCTCCTACTCAAGCAAGGATGACACGGGTAACTCGGGAAATGACGACGACGAGAGGGGATTGATTGTCCATCGCCACAAAACTCTGGCACAAAGATCCCTGACGAAACGAAGGAAAAAGTGAATGCATCTGCCCACAAAAGGCGGCAAGATGCGTCCGGTAGTCACGGATGTATTCGCCTCTTTGTCCGGCAAGATGCTCTCTCTCTCTCTCTCTCTCTCTCTCTCTCTCTCTCTCTCTCTCTCTCTCTCTCTCTCGTTTATTTTCCTTCTTTCGTGAGTAGTATAGTGTGGCGAGGCCCAATGGCATTCTCTAGGACAGAAATCGGCCATAGCTTGGGGATTCTTCTCAGCGTCATTCCGTCCCGTGTTTTCCAGTTTGACAAGTCTTGTGGAATCCTCCGTGCAAATAACCTTGTTAAGTTGGGGGAGAGAGGGACACAAACCAGGCTGGTCATGATGTACCTGTTCCCCTCGGGAATGCAGGTTCATGATCTGCTCCGGACCCTCTGCAGTGACCATGTACCTTCTCATCGATCAACGTTTCGTGTTCACGTCTTCACTCGTGTGTCCTTTTCGACTCCGTCTACATCTCTTCCCAATCTTGCTACACCTGAGATCCTAATTCTCGGTTGGAGCGAAGCCCACAAGGACAAGGCATTCCATATTCCATGAATGAAGTCCGACTAAGGGCTTCGCTCCGCGACTCTCCACATGCACAGAGGACAAAAAAAAAGATGGCGGCGCATCTTCTAGCGGAAGAGTCGTCGTTCTAAATTTGCACATTCGGTGAGGAGTGGAGCGAGGTCAAAAAGAGATGATGGCCGTCGATCTCTGTTATCTACGGACAACGGACAGTTTACTATTAGCTCTTAATCCGTGGACGTTGGACCTCGCCCTCCGTGCAGGTATGCTCTTAAGAGTAGAAACAGAGAGGGAGAGACCAGAGATAGAAAGGACGGAAGAGGAACAAGAAAGAATGGGAGGCACAGATAAACTAAAGAGGAGTGAGGGAACCCGACTGATGCTCCCCAGAAAAGATGGAACCTTGTTTCATCAAAAAAAAAAAAAAAAAAAAAAAAAAAAACCTCCCTCCAAGTAGAGTCTCTCCGTTATCCCCCTGATCATCAGGTTGAGTGTCCCGTGACCAGTTCCATCTCGGATGGCCCCTCCATACTTCTCCGTCTCATGTCCCTGCCCTTCGTCTCTCCTGTCTGGCTCGTTACTCTCTCTCTCTCTCTCTCTCTCTCTCTCTCTCTCTCTTTCTCTCTCTTTCTTTCTTTTGCGATCGTCGTTACTCTCTCTCTCTCTCTCCCTCTCTTTCTCTCTCTTTCTCTCTCTCTTTCTCTCTCTCTTTCTTTCTTGTGCGCTCCCCCGGCGATCTATGTTTATTATCTCTCACACACTCTTCCTTACGCAACCTGTTTTTGTTTATCTATCTTTCCATTGTTGGGCACCTCTGCGCTCATTCAGGTTGCTCTCTTTCCCCATCCCTTCCAACTCAAATGGTTTATGCTCACTTGCATTGAATCGGAAACTGGGCGCTATAAAGGGAGAACGAGATAGAGCCAGGCATATGGCAGACACGCGTGCGCATATCGTGCCGACTTTCTCGAGGGGGTAAAGGAACAGCTCTCTCTCAGCGACAGGGTTCGATCGGTAAATGGATCGTTCTGTCCATCGCGCGCGTGCGCGTGAGTTAGTGAGTGAGTGTCACTCTGTGTGTGTGTGTGTGTGTGTGTGTGTGTGTGTGTGTGTGTGAGAGAGAGAGAGAGAGAGAGAGAGAGA